GTGAGTGTGTACTTGTGTTTGTGGGTGAGTATGTGTATATACTCACCCACAAACACAAGTTTATATGTGTGTGTATTTGTGCTTGTGTTTGTGTGGGAGTATTCAGGCGTGTGTGTTTGAGTTTGGGTTTTTCTGTGTGTGCGCATTTGTGTGTGTGTTTGTGTATTTGTTTGACCGTACATGTTTGTGTGTCTATTTGTGTGTTTGCTTGTGTGTGTAAGTGTATCTATTTGTATGTTTTGTGTGTGATTTAGTTTATGTTTGCGTGTGAGCTTGCGTGTTTGTTTTTGCATGTGTGCGTTTGCGTGTGTGTGTGATTTTGTGTGTATGAGTTTGTGCTGTTTTTGTAAATGTTTGTGTGTGTTTGTGTGTGTATATACGTTTGTGTGTTTCTGAGTGTGTATTTGTGTGTGGGTTTGTTTGTATGTTTAGTACGTTTGTGTATCTGTGTTTGTTTGTGTATGTGCTTGTGTGCTTTTTCTGTGTGTCTACTTATGTGTGCTTACGTGTTTGTTTCTGTGTATGCGATTTTGTGTCTTTGTGTGTCTGTGTGCTTTTTGTGTTTGTTTGTGTAACGTTGTGTGTGTCTCTGTGCGTATGTGTTTGCGTGGATAAGTTTCAGTTTGTGTGATTGTATTTTTCTGTGTGCGCATTTGTATGAGTGCGCGTGTGTGTGTTTTTGTGCATGTATGTTTGTTTGTGTTTATATTTGTGTGTGTCTGTGCTTGTTTGTGTGCATGTGTTTGTATTCGTATTTCTGTGTGTGCGTTTCTCTGTGTGTCTGTGTGTATCTGTGGGTCATGTGTTTGTTTGTTGGTGTGTGTATGTGTATTCATGTGTGTATTTGTGTGTGATTTTGTTTGTTTGTGTGTGCTTGTGTGTGTGTTTGCGTGAGTTGATTTGCGTGTATGTGTATTAATCTGGGTCATGTGTTTGTTTGCGTGTGCACATGTGTATTTATGTATGTGTGCTTCTTAGTGTGTGTCTGTCTGTGTGTGATTGTGTGTATGTCTGTGTGTGTATTTGTCTGTGTGTCATGTGTTTGTTTGTGCGTGTGTATATACGTTTATGCATGTGTGTTTGTGTGTGATTTTGTTTCTGTTTGTGTGCTTGTGTGAGTGTTTGCGCGTGTATGTTTTCGTGTGTGTCTCTGTGTGTGATTTTATGCAAAAGAGTTTGTAAGTGTTTTGTGAGTGTTTGTGCGGTTCTGTGTGTGTTTTTTGTGTTTGTGTGTGTGTATACTTGCGTGTGTTTGGTTGTGTGTTTACGTAGATTTATGTTTGTGTTTGTATGTGATTTTGAGGCTCTGTGTTTGTTTGTGTGTTTTTTATTGTGTGTCTGTGTGTCTTCATGTGATTCTGTGTGTGTTAGTATGTTTTTGTGTGCACGTAAGTGCATGTTTGTCCGTCTGTTTGTGTGTTTGTGTGTGTATTTATTTATGTTTGTGTGTGCTTGTGTGTTTTTTTCTGTGTGCGCGTTTACGTGTGTTTTGTGTGTGTGTGTGCATTTGTGTGTGCGTGTTCGTGTGACCGTTTGTGTCTGTGTGTTTGTTTGTGTGTGTTGCTGTGTGTATGTTTGCATACGTATGTGTCTGCGTGGGTGAGTTTTTGTGTGATAATTGTGTGTGTTTCTGTGTGTGCGGGTTTGTGCGAGTTTGTTTGCTAGTACGCATGTGTGTGTGTATGTGTATTTCTGTGTGTTTGTTTCTGTGTGTATGTATGTATTTCTGTGTGTGTCTGTGTGCGTTTTTGTGTGTGATTGTATGTGTGCGTTTGTGCGTGTGCTTGTGGGTATTCGTGTGTATGCTTGTGCATGTGTTCGTATGTGCATATGTGTATGTTTGTTTCTGTGTATGCATGTGTATCTGTAAGTACTTGTGTATGTGTATGTGTGTATGTATGTACGTACATGTGTATGTATATGTGCGTGTGTTTGTTTTTGTATGCGTGTCGGTATGCGTTGTGTGTGTGTCTGTGCACTACTGCAAACTGTCCGGCTCAGCCATGCATGATGTTGGGGATCCCTCTCTCATCCTGAGACGTTTAACTCACTCAGATCAATGATTCCATCCATATTCCCAAACGACTTTAGCTCCCGGACGGATTTGTTTTGTGCAGAAATCATGTCCTGAGGTAATGTTTTGTTGGTAGCTTTGCAGCCAAAACGTCTGTGCAAAAATCTCCCACAGAATAAAGTCTCCACGGCTTCAGCCCTGAGTTAACCTGTGTCTGCTGACACACTGCAGTCTGAGCCCTGTAGCTCAGTGGTTATAGCCCTCGCCTCGCTAGCGAAAGGGCCTGGGGGTGATTCCTGACAGAGCAAAACCTTATGGATGTTTGCTTACTCCACTCGTATCTGTTTGCCTCACAGTCAGTCACAATCCGGTTCTTACACAATTTGCAGATCGCGTCCATAATCCTTGAGACTATGAGATATAGGTGGCCTGAGAGAGATGGACGGAAAGATACAGAGATGGAAAAAGAGAGTGGGAAAGAAGAGGGCCTGAGTGAGAGAAAGACAGAGTGATAGACAGATATAAAGAGACTGAGAGACTATGGGAGAAGAAATATAACGTGTGAGAGGGTTTTTTGTGAGAGGGATTAAGCGACAGAAAGAAAAAGAGAGAATGAGAGAGACTGAGTGAGAGACAGATAGAGTGAGAGACGAAGACAGCGAATGATAGACACTGAAACGTTGAGAGTGAGACTGAGATAGAGACTGAGTTAGGGAGAGAAAGAGGGAGGGAAAGAGAATCAGAGAGAGACTGAGAGAAAGAAAGTAAGAGGGAGTCTGAGAGAGAGAGAGAGAGAGAGAGACTGAGAGAAAGACAGACAGAGTGAGAGAGATGAAATGAGATGGATGAAATATAACATGTCGTGACTGTGTATTTTGTGGGAGAGACTAAGAGATAGAGACTGAGAGGGAAAGAGAGACAGACAGAGACACAGAGAGAGACTGAGGCAAAATATATTATAACGAATAGTGACTGTGTCTTGTTGGAGAGCCAGAGCAAGTGACTGTGAGACAGAAAGAGAAACTGGTTGAGAAACTGACAGAAAGAGAGAGAGAGAGTGAGAGTCAGAGAGAAAGACAGAGACAGAGCGAGTAACTGAATGAGGGAAAGAATAGAGCGCGAGATACAGAAAGAGAATGAGAGAAAAAAAACGTAGAGAAAGAGAGACTGTGAGAGATATTACAAAGTGTAGTGACACTGCGTTTTGTGGGTGACAGAGACTGTTACTGCGAGAGTGAGAATGAGACGGAGAGAGAAGAGAGAGAAACAGAGAGAGAGTCAGTGAGAGAGACTGACAAAGATAGAGAAAGAGAGAAAAAGAGGGGCCAAAAGAAAGGAGGAGGGAGAAGTGAGTCACTGATAGAGACTGAGAGATAAGGAGAGAGAGTGAACTGAAAGACAGAGAGAGGGAGAGAGTGACTAAGAGAGCCAGTGACTGAGAGAGAGACTGTGAGAGAGACTGGTAAAGGGAGACTGAGAGAGACAAACTGAGTGAGTGAATGAGAGAGAGAGTGTGTGGCTGTGAGAGAGGGAGAGAAACAAACAGAGAGAGAATGAGAGAAAAAGTGACTGAGAGGGACACTGAGAGACCTCGATAGAGAAAGATAGTCTGAGACAGAGACTGAGAGACAGGGATAGAGTGAGACAGAGACTGAGACACACAGACACACACAGAGAGACAGAGAGTGAGAGAGAGAAAAAGAGAGAGAGAGAGAGACTGCGAAAGAGAGAGAGACTGAGAGACAGAGATAGAGAGAGAGAATCTGAGAGACAAACAGAGAGAGAGACTGAGAACGAGAGACAGACTAAGCGAGATAGACTGAGCGATAGAGGCTGAGAGACTGAGAGAGAGAGATACTGAGGCAGAGGCAGAGGGAGAGACGATGAAAGAGAGAGACCCAGAGAGACAGAGAAAGAGACTGAAGGGCGAGAATGAGAGAGTGAGAGACTGAGGGTGAGAGAGACTGTGAAGGAGAGACCGAGAGAGAGGGGAAGGGAGAGACATAGACTTGCGCGTCTGAGAGAGATATTGAGGGAGAGAAAGAGAGAGAGACTGAAAGAGTGAGTGAGACAGAAACAGAGAGAATACAATATAATGTGTTGTGACTGTATGTTTTGTAAGAGAGACAGAGGCAGTGACTGAAAGAGATTGACTGACAGAGAGAGAGAGAGAGAGAGAGAGATTGAGAGAGGGACAGAAAGAGACACTGATAGACATATATATACATATATAGACAGAGAGAGAGAGAATCAGAGAGAGCGAAAGAGATGAAGAGAATATATATTAAAGGGTAGCGAATGTGTGTGTTGTGGGAGAAACAGAGAAAGAGTGACTGAGAGAGAGAGAAATTGGGAGAAACTGCGGGAGAATCAATGAAAGAGACTGAGAGAGAGACTGAGAGAGGAAGTGACTCCGAAACAGGGTGAGAGAGAGACTGAAGAACAGAGAGAGAGACTGAGACAGTGAGACAGAGAGAGAGAGAGAGAGACTGAGCAAGAGAGGAAATGATGGTGTTTGAAAGAGGGAGACAGACTGAGAGAAACAGAGACACTGTGAGAGAATAAGCGATAACATGTAGTAACTGTTTCGTGGGAGAGGCAGAGAAAGAAATATATATATAGAGAGAGACTGAGACAAAGTGAAAGACATAGAGAAAGACAGACAGAGAGTGGAAGAAAGAGACAGAAAGACGGTGAAAGAGAGTATATTATCAAAAGTAGTGACTGTTTTGAGGGAGAGACAGAAAGAGAATCAGAGAGACAGACTGTGATGTGTGATGCACATGTGTGTGTGTGTGTCTCACCCTGATGTCAGCGCCTTGGGACTTGCTCCCCACGTGAAAGGCTCCAGTGTATACATGTCAATATGTATTGTGTTGTTACACCATATTCCTTGTGTTCTCTGTCTCTGTGTCTCTGTGTCCAGCCTGGAGAGCAATAATCTGGGAGATTGTGGAGTGAAGCGACTGTGTGAGGCTCTGAGGAACCCGGAGTGTAAAATACAGAGACTGTGGTAAGTAACACACTGTGTCTCCAGAGTCTGAATGACTCCAATATCTCAATGTGCTTATTGTGACTGTCTGATCAGTGCGGCTGAATATTGTGACAGGAATCGGTGTGACAGTGTGAGGCCACAAACCATCGTTTACATCAAACTCTCAATGTGTGTGTGTGGGTGTGTCCTTTGCTACTATCTACAACGACTTTAGAATGACCCGGTTCCAGTTTACCAATTGGTTGAGCTTAGTCACTTTATTCAGGACAGAACAGCAGGAAATACACAAATAAATGAAACAATAAAATAATACACAAGACACAAAACGGTACCGACTGGAGTTCTGTCACAGCACTGGTCGTGTCTCTCACTGCTCCTCTACCGTTCCCGAGAGAGATGTTACACACCTTTGTTTAAAGACAACTGAATAACTCCAGACAAAACTGTCTTTTTTTAAGAAAAACAACTCCTTATATGGTTATATTCGTGATATGTTTCAATTTTAATTCTCCCTTTAACCACAAGGACTTTCCGTGTCCTTGTGAGTTCTGACCTTATATTGCCATTGTTTTGGGTTCTGCCTTCAGTTACTGAGCTTTGCCGCATTTGCACTTCTATTTTAGATTCTTGAACCGCACTTTAACATTAACCCAAGACAACACTGTTTGTATGTATGTCTGTGTGTGTGTGTGTGTCAGTGCATGCGTATTTGTGTGTTTGTGTATGTATTTGTGTGTTTGTGTATCAATGCATATGCTTTTGTGTGTGTGTGTATGCGTTTGCCTGTGTATGTGGGTCTGAGTGCTTTTGTGAGTGCTTTCGTAAGTGTGCGTGTGTGTGTTTGTCTGTGTGAGCGATTGTTTGTGTGTGTGTTTGTCTTTGTTTCTGTGTTTGTGTTTGTGCGTGTACTTTTGAGCATATCTACATATATATGTTGTGTGTCTCGATGTGTTAAGATGAGTGTCTCTGTCTGTGTGTGTTTGTTTCTGCGGGGTTTTTTGTGTCTCAGTTTGTATTTGTGTTCGACTGTGTTTGCTTGTGTGACTTATGCTTGTGAGTGTATGTGTGTGTGTGTCAGAGCCTTGGGACGTCCGACATGAAAGGCGATATACAACTGTAATCTTGTTGTTGTGTGCGTTTGTGTATGTTCCTGTGAGTGTGTGCGATTCTGTGTGTGTTTGTGTGTGTTACTGTGAGTGTGTGCGATTGTGTGTGTGTATCCCAGAGGATCGAGTTCAAGATCGTCGTCCTCACCTTTAAGGCCATCCATGGCCTCGCCCCCTCCTCCCCTCTCTGACCTGCTGACTCCCTACCAACCTGCCCGCTCCCTCCGTCCAGTGGGCTCCGGGCTGCTCCATGTCTCCCGCCCGACCCGCCCTCCCATCGGTGTCCGGGCTTTCAGCCTCTCTGCCCCCACACACTGGGACTCCATCCCACGGTCCCTTCCCCTCACTTCCTCTCTTGTCTCCTTCAAGGTCGGTCTCAAGACCCTTCTCTTCGATCGTGCTTTGATCTCCCTCCCACCTCTCTGCCTTCCCTCACTCCTACCCCACCCCTCGCCACCCCCCCCCACCCCTCCCCCATGCTCAGGCCCCGACACCTGACTGTTTAGCTCTTTGGGACGTCCTGCCGACGTGAAAGGCGCTCTGTAAATCCAATTTTATTGATGTTATTGGGTATTTGCGTGTGAGTGTTTCTGTGCGTGTGTGAGTGTGTGTGCGTGTCTGCGGGTATGTGCGTGGTTGTGTCTGTGTGCTTGCACGTTTGTGTGTTTGGTTGCGTGTATGTGTATTTATGTTTGTGTGTTTTTCTGTGTGTGCTTGTCTGTGTGTATTCGCGTATGTTTCTTTGTGTGAATCTATGTATGTGTACTTATGTGTTAGTATTTGATTTTGTGTTTCTTTGTTTGTTTGTGTGTTTTTAAGTGTGTGTCTGTTTGTCTTTATGTTTCTATGTGTGTGTGTGATTGTGTGTTGTGTTTTTGTGTGTGCGTATTTGTGAGTTTGTTTTTGTGCGTCTTTGTGTGTTTCTGTGTCTATTTGTGCGTGTATTTTCGCGTGTATGATTATGTATGTTTGTGTATGTCTGTGTATGTGTATTTGTGTGTGTACTTGCGTGCTTTTTTCTGTGTGCCTGTGTGTGTTTATGTGTATGTTTGCGTGTGTTTGTGTATGTGTCCGTTTGTCTGTGTTTCTGTGAGTGTGTGTTTGTTTTTGTGTGTTTCTCTCTGTATGTGTGTGTATCTCTGTGTGTGTCTGTATTTTTCTGTTCGACATGTGTTTCTTTGTGTGTGTATGTGTGTGTGTGCTTGCATGAGTGTGTCTGTGTGTGTCTGTGTTGTCTGTGGGTCATGTGTTTGTGTGTGTGTATGTATGTATTTATGTGTGTGTGTTTGTGTGCATTTTGTTTATGTTTGTATGTGTGCTTGTGTGAGTGATTGTGCTTATGTTTGCGTTTGAGTGTGTGTGTTGGCGTATGTTTGATTTTGTGTGTATGAGGTTTTGAGTGCTTTTGTGAGTGTTTGTATGTTTCTGTGTGTGCGTGTGAGTTTGTGTGTGTGTGTATGTTTGTGCGTGTTTGTGTTTATCTATGTATGTCTATTTATATGTGTGTGTTTGTTTGTACATGATGTGCTTCTGTTTGTGTCTATGTATTTGAGTGTATCTTTATGTGCGTTTGTATGTTTGTGGGTGTTTGTGTGTGCGTGTTTGTCAGTCTGTTTTCGTGTACGTTTGTTTCTATGTGTGTGTATTTGTGTGTGCTTGTGTTTGTGTGCATATGTGTTTGCGTTTGTGTGAATGATTGATTGTTTGTGTGTGTGTTTGTGTTTGCTTGTGTGAGTTTCTGTGTGTGTGTTTGCGTACGTATGTGTTTGCGTGGGTGAGTTTTTGGGTGTGATTGTGTATGTTTCTGTGTGAGCGCGTTTGTGTGAGATTGTTTGTGTCTTTGTTTGTCTGCGTGAGTGAGAATGTGTATTTATGTGTGTATATGTGTGTCTGTGCGTCACTCTGTTCATGTGACTCTGTTTGTGTGTGTTTGTGTGTATTTTTCTGTGGGTCATGTGTTTGAGTGTATTTGCGTGTGTGAGAGGAAGTGTGTATCTGCGGCGATGCTTTTGTGTGTGTTGGTGTGTGTGTTTTGTGTGTATGAACTCCTGCAACCTGTCCGCCATCAAACAAACAATCCCTGTGATGTCTCTGTGTCTCTGATCTCCAGTTTGGACAGCAATAGACTGACCGATGGCTGCACTGATGATCTGGTCTCCGCTCTCAGTACAAACCGCTCACTGAGGTTCCTGAACCTGAGGTCTAACTCCTTCACAGACGGCTCTGTCCCCGCTCTCCGCCGCCTCATACAGACCTGCACCAGTCTGGAGAGGATCTGGTGAGTGTTTGTGTCAGTGTTTAATGTGATAAACACACAGAGAAAGGGCTGTGTATCAGAATGGGAACAGTTTGAAGGGATTTATTTATGTATTAAACTGCGACACGAACAGTTTACAGTTTGTACCATTATCCCATGGGTTTATTTCCTGTTTAATGTGTTTCAGGCTGTGGGGGAATGAGTTCAGTTCAGAAGGAGCGAAACAGCTGCGGTCACTGCGGGGAATCAGAGCTGAGCTGTCAGTGTTAGTGTGACACTGACTGAGGCAGTGACTGTCCACACAGTCTGTGTAATATGGAATATATTCTGGACACTGTAGTGACTGATTATTAAAGATGTTGATCCTGATTCCTCTCCCATCTCTGCTCTGGGGACCGTTATTGACACACACCGCCTACGGCCGTGCGGGCGGCTGGAGAGCCCCGACCCTCAGTCACTGCTAAACTGCTGTAAGCGACCACAACTGATGCATTTTCTCCAACAGTCTCTCTCTCTCTCTCTCTCTCTCCCACACACACACTCTGTCAATCTCTTTCAGTTTATATATCTCCATCTCTCTATTTCAGTCTCTCTCTTTCATTGTCTCTCTTCGTCTCCGTCACACTCTCTATCTCTCTCTGGGCCTCAGCCATCAGTGATTGAGTGTGAGATAGTGAGAGAGAGAAGTCAGTGTGTGTATCTGAGAGAGAGAGATAGGGAGCAGTCAGTGTGGTTGCGGTAGAGGGAGTGAGAAGTCAATGTGTGTGTGTGTGTGTCAGAGAGAACAGTTATTGTGTGTGAGCGAGAATGAGAGCAGTGAGTGTGTGTGAGAGAGAGCAGTCAGTGTGTGTGTGAGAGCAGTCAGTGTGTCTGTGTGAGAGCAGTCAGTGTGTGTGTGTCAGAGAGAGCAGTCAGTGTGTGTGTGTGTCAGAGAGAACAGTCAGTGTGTGTGTGAGAGAGAGAATTCAGCGTGTGTGTGTGTGACAAAACAGAGCAGTCAGTGTGTGTGAGTGTGTGAGAGCAGTCAGTGTGTGTGTGAGAGAGAGCAGTCAGTGTGTGTGTGTGAGAGCAGTCAGTGTGTGTGTGAGAGAGAGCAGTGTGTGTGTGTGTGAGAGAGAGAGCAGTCAGAGTGTGTGTGTGTGAGAGCAGTCAGTGTGTGTGTGTGTGTGTGTGAGAGCAGTCAGTGTGTGTGTGTGTGAGAGAGCAGTCAGTGTGTGTGTGTGAGAGAGAGAAGTCAGCGTGTGTGTGTGTGTGTGTGACAAAACAGAGCAGTCAGTGTGTGTGAGTGTGTGAGAGAGAGCAGTCAGTGAGTGTGTGTGTGTGAGAGAGAGAGCAGTCAGAGTGTGTGTTTTAGATCAGACACTGTGTGTGTGTGAGCAGTTAGTCGGTGTGTGTGTGTGTGAGAGAGAGAGCAGTCAGTGTGTGTGTGTGAGAGAGAGCAGTCAGTGTGTGTGTGTGAGAGCAGTCAGTGTGTGTGTGTGTGAGAGAGAGCAGTCAGTGTGTGTGTGTGTGAGAGAGAGAGCAGTCAGTGAGTGTGTGTGAGAGAGCAGTCAGTGTGTGAGAGAGCAGTCAGTGTGTGTGTGTGTGAGATATCAGTCTGTGTGTGTGTGTGAGAGCATTCAGTGTGTGTGTGTGAGAGCATTCAGTGTGTGTGTGTGAGAGAGAGCAGTCAGTGTGTGTGTGTGAGAGAGCAGTCTGTGTGTGTGTGACAGCAGTGTGTGTGAGAGAGAGCAGTCAGTGTGTGCGTGTGTGTGTGAGAGAGCAGTCAGTGTGTGTGTGGTGAGAGCAGTCAGTGTGTGTGTGCGAGAGATAGCAGTCAGAGTGTGTGTGTGTGTGTGTGTGTGAGCAGTCGGTGTATGTGTGAGAGAGAGAGCAGTCAGAGTGTGTGTGTGTGTATGCGAGAGAGAGCAGTCAGTCTGTGTGTGTGAGAGCAGTCAATGTGTGAGAGAGCAGTCAGTGTGTGTGTGAGAGAGCAGTCAGTGTGGGTGTGAGAAAGCAGTCAGTGTTTGATGTATTAGAGAGCAGTCAGTATGTGTGTGAGAG